CCCCCCACCCCCCCCCCCCCCCCTTTCCCCCCCTGCCGCAGGCGCTCATTCTCGGCCGCCAGCAGGTCCTGGTGCTTCTCCGCATCCATGCCGCCCTGCCGCCGGACGGGATGGAAGCCTGATGTACCCCGGGACCCCCAGCCCACTGCACCCCCGGGAGCCCCAGCCTGCTGCACCCCAAGAACCCCAGCCCGCTGCAACCCCTGAGCCCCCAGCCCATCATGTTCATGGAGCCACAGCCTGCTGCACCTCACGAGTCCCCAGCACCCTGCACCCTCAGGAGCCCCATCCTGCTGCACCCCTGGGGAGCCCCAGCCTACTGCACCCCACGGAGCCCCAACCCACTGCACCCCAAGAACCGCAGCCTGCTGCACCCCAAGAACCCCAGCCCACTGCACCCCAGAGAGCCCCATCCTGCTGCACACCAGGAACCCCAGCCCGCTGTATGCTGTGGAGCCCCAGCCTGCTGTACCCCAGGAACCTCAGCCTGCTGCACCCCCTGAGCCCCCAGCCCATCACGCTCATGGAGCCCCCAGCCTGCTGCCCCTAGGAACCCCAAGTCTCTCCCCATAGCAGAGTGACGGTGCCGGGGAGCCTTTGCCGGCTGCAACCCCAGGACCCCCGGTCATGACACTGCACTGGACAGAAAATCCCACAAACTTCTGCCCCTCGCTGTCTCTCTCTCGGCTTTCAGGGTCCAAATTGCGACCCTGGGGAGGTTTTCATCCTTCCGAGCCCTCCCGATGCATCCCTTCCCTCCTCAGGGACCCACAGCTCCGGCGTCCCTCAGGGCAAGGGTGGCTTAGCCCAAGCCCGGCGGCAGCTCACCAGCTCGGAGCGCAGCCGGCCGATCTCCTGCGCCTGCTCCAGGATCTTCGCCTTCAGCGTTTCAATCTGTCAACAACAGGCAAGGTTAACCAGGAGGCATCTCAGCAGCTTCTGGAGGAGACCCCGTGGTGCCACCCCAGCCACCGACGTCCAGTCTGGCGCACACCTTCATTACGACTTCATTTTCCACCTCGCTCCGAGCACCTGATTCACACGAGCTGATTACAACGAGCGTTAATGAAAGGCTTGCTTCAACCTTGTTCGACCACGGGTATAATTTGTCCATGTTGAGCATTAGCAGAAACCATTATTAAAAAAAAAACCCAACCTCCTTCATCTTTGGGGAAGGAAAAAAACAAACCTATCCACAGTTGTGTTTAAAGAGCCAGAAGCGCCTCATCCTGCCCTTGCAACACAGCTTCACTTTGCCTTCCCCATGTTTCTTTCTAGGAAGGTTATCTCGGGAGAAAGAGGGAGCAGGAACCCTTTGCGACATCCTCATGCCCGAGTCGGATGGGAGGATGCTCCCCAGCCACCCCATCCGGGCATCTGCCCGTCCCGTGGGGACCAGGCTGCCCTCCCTGCAAAAGCCAGCTGGATTTCACAAATCCTCCAACTTCTCGTGCAGGGATCAGCGAGGCTCCCCCCAAAATATGCAGCTGTTCAAATCAACGGTGGCAGCAGGTGCTTGGCGAAGCTGGCGGTCTCGTGGGCCGTGTTTCCACGGGATTTGCCCACCTGCGTCGTCCCTCGTCCCCGTGCCCAAAAACCCGGTGGCTGCTGGGCGATCATCGCCGCCTCCCCAGAACTCACCCCGGGG